AGAGAACCAAGAAAGGTCTACAAGAGTGTGAGCTGGCATGAAACAATCAGCACTGAGGAAATAGCACCATGCCAACATAAGGGTTCAATACGGTGCTGTCTGCAACTCCCGTGGTTGCCAAGATAAGGTGAGAAGCAACATCCTAGGCCACTCTTTGTTAATCAAAGATAAATTTAAAAATCCCATGACAAAAAAGAATGCTCAGTTGCATTCTGGCTTCAAGCTGGACTTGAAACTTTCAGCGAGTTTGTTGACTTAATTTCTCTAAGTTCAAAAATAAATTATTCACTGGGAATACTGTATGCTTTACAAATTGTTTGGATTTAGTTAAATTACCATCAATTTTTCTAAACAGCAGACTTCTTAGATTAAAATTTATAGTCTTTACTCTGGCTAAATTAATCCTATTCACTAGATGTATCAAATAGTCCCAAATGTAATTAGCTGTGAGCTGGGTCTGTAAGTTATAATTATTTAATTACACCAAAATGAAAGGATAATCAAAGTAATATATCTCCACAAGGTTTTGGACTGTCCCACGTAGTTATTACAGCCAGTATTAATTTTTCTTTTTTTAAAAAAAAAGGTCACTTTCTTTTGCAAAGTAAATTAATGTTCCGTTAGCTTTATATACCACTGTGATGAGCAAAGCACAAAAGCCTACTTAAATAAAACAAAAAAGAGAACATCTAGGATTTCATAAGCAACACCGTTTTAAATCTTTCAAATTTAATAAAGTAACACGTCAGATTAACCAAATAGTACTCTGGGAGTCAAAACCTATAAATCTGTGCTTTACTTTTTTCATTAGCAATTAGAAAAGAAAAACAAAGCTTTGACTAAGCAAAAGAAAAACTGATCTAAATCAACTCAACTCTTCTTTAAATGTCTCTTTACATAACTTAGTGGAAAGACAGCAGAGAACAGAGAAAGATAAAAACATACTACAGGTATGAGGTCAGGTCAGCACACTTAAGTTCACTCTTTAATATAACCCTACACTGCTTTATGGCAGATTTTATCACATATCCCAAAGGTATTGTTGCCTTCACCTACAAAAGTTTTGGTGTATAGTTTCATACACTAAAGCAACAGAAAGTACAAACTCACTGAAATCTGAACTCCTAAGAGAAAAAAATTGAGAGGATTGTTTGCTTCTCAAACTTTAATTTGCAGAAGAGAAACACTAGATATGGATATTTAAAAAAAAAAAAAGAGCACTGTTTTTAATATGTGGCAGTAATGGAAATCCATAAAATTAGTATCATCTGATTTTTATGAAAATCAAGTTAAATGATACCCCAAAGCTAGTAAAAGAACTGGCATAGCTTTCTATAATAGTTATTTCTTTGTACCAATGGATTAGGTTCCTTATAACCACAGGAATTGCAGCATTTCAAGATACAACCAGACTCTCTGAAACAATGGGAAAAGTTTCAAAAACTTTTTGATCAGTCAAATTATATAGACTGAAACCCCATAAAATACACCAAACCCTCAAATAATAAAGCATGAGGAAAACACTGGAAAGAAAAAATAATTAATTAGAATGTGAATTCTTCTTTCCTCACCAGATTTCTTGCCTGGCACATGTCCAAACATGTGCATCATCTAAAGTGATCAACAGACTATAAAATCCATAAAGACAGAAAATCTCCTGCCCTGCGTTGCAGTTCAGCTTTGCCGTTGGCTCGGCAGGCAGCTGACCCCTGCGGTTCCCCACCTAGAGAGTGTGGAAAGAGAGACAGGACGACAGAAAACCACAGATTGCCTGTGCCCTCATGTACAACCAGCTTTCCCATTACAGCTTTACCTTATTTGCAGCTTTAAAAATCACCACCAAACATCAACCTTAATTGGTAACCTGTATACAAAGTACATGAAAAAAGTATTTGTATCTTCCTATGAAAAGACCAAAAGGACGCTATCCCTCAATGTTTCCTTCAGTAAATGGATCTGAGAAGAACAGAAGCTATGACTATTGTGTTTAAATAGGAATTAAAAAAAAAAAATCACGACTAGAGTTAATCATTCAAGATCACTCTTCTCATGCGAAAACCTCACTGTCCAAGTTACTGTCCCTCTCGAGGGATAGTGCCACTTGCCTAATCCAAAGTATCTGTCTTGACACAGGAAAAACATAAGAATTCCACAACAAATAAACTGAGAATAAAATGCCAATCCCCCACATTATAAAACAGAAGTGGCATTGTGAATTCGGCTGGGCAGTTCATTTACTCCGGCAAAATACTGATGTATCTATTATATTATTACAGCATAACTTATATTTATCTAAGAATCTTAAAATAAAATAGCAAATACATTTAGCACAAAAGCCCTCTGGCTTTGAGCTATGACAAAAATGGCATAAAAAAGAAGAAAAAAAAATGCCTTTCATGCAACAGTCCAGAATGGACAACAGGCAAACTTGTACAGCGATTCTTGACTATGAAGACTAGCTTTCACTCTTTCAAGAAGTGCTGTGGCCTCCTAGACCAAAACGTCCAAACGAGCAGTTTCCTTCCACCTCCTGCCCCATTTTCAGCAAGATAAGCAGGGACAGGGAAGATGGCAGAAAATCCCAACATCAGTAATTTAGCATAACAGGGCTCTGAACAGCTTGGTTTATTAATAGAACGCAGTTGACTCTCTTATGGAGAGATGATAATAGTAATAATAACAGGGTGGATTATTCAGTGTGAATAAAACCTACCAACAGGACAGACCCATGCAGAGTTCACGAGCAGCAGGGCTTAACAGCACAGGTACAGCACCACGTGAATGCGCTGCGGGCCACGCTGGGCACAATCAGCCACAGGACTAAGCCCAAACTAATAAGATACGAAGCAGTGCAGACACCTGCACTAAAACAGCAAGACTGCAAGGCAGGAGCACCACAGATGGTTTCTTTGCTTGGACAAAGAACAGAAAAGCAGAACTTGTGTCATGTTAAAAATACATTCTCTTCCACAGGGACCAAATCCTGACACAAGTAATTTTCCTCCATGTATGAAAGTAGGATGAAAGGACCTTCTCCCTCAAAAAGCTGTTTTCTCCAGCAACATACCCATCCAAAATACATCACAGAAGATGTATTAAAAAAATAATGATTACATACAATTTTTTTACGTGACCTGCATTACACTGTATGTATAGGCTGGATTGACCTTGAAAACAAGGCAGGATCATGCCCCCAAAAGACTACTGTTGTTTGCCGAACCTAAAAGTGAGATGATAGTTCATTAATTCAGTGACAAAAGACTTTATGAATAAGGAGCTGAGGCATCTGGCAGCATCCTACATCCTTCAATTGAATCCAATCAAACTCCAGTTCAAAAGAAAAATGAAGAGGTAGTATCTGTCTATCTGTACGTCTCTGTAGATCTCCATCCCATTAACCTTACCCCCAACAACAGTCATGGCGAATAATCTGCACACACTGAAGTAGCATCCACTGTTTTAATGGAGCAACACTAACCAACAGGATTCACTGGGGCACCCCGGGACAGTGCAGAAATGCTAGAGGCTTCCTAAGATGTGAATCCCTTCTCTTGCTGATACGCTCTAGTATTCAAACCTGATGTGTCATGAAAGATGCAGATGCAAAAATACTTAAAACTTACAGTTAGACAAGGGTTGCGGGTGGTATGCATATTTGGTGACAAACAGATGAGAATAGTGGGGAAAATGGCCTCAAATGCTTATGAATGAAGCAGTTGCAAAGTCAAATAGTTTTTTTTCTCTGGAAAAACTAAATATTTGAGCATGGGCAATGGCCAGCAGCTCAGTTTGCAGGCAGAGCAATTAAATACCTACACACAGCAAAGCACTACCCAAAGGAAGAGAAGTTAAGTTGCTTCATCAGTAAAGATTGTCCATCCAGGTCTCTGAACAAGGCAAGGAAACCATGGGAAAGTCAAACGCTTCTGCGACTGACGACCATACTCACAGTCTTTAATTTTATGTCTTTAACCAGAGAAAACCAAACAATCTGGATTCTGTCATTTCTTAACTTCTGAACACTTGAGTTTGCCGTTAGTGCTCTTTTAACGTATTTTGTTGTAAAAGACACTGCCAGTAAAGCCAATTGACCACCTTGACCTCTGCATCACTGGCATGGAAGTGGCATGAAATCATACTGGAGATATTCAAAATCCGTCTGGACACAGTCCTGGGCAACTGGCTTGAGGTGGCCCTGCTTCAGCAAGGGGGTTGGAGCAGATGACCTCTGGAGGCCCTTCCAGGTCCAGCCATTCTGTGGTATTCCTACCTCGGTGACCTGAATACTTGTTGGGTATGAGGATTCCTAATGGTTACTGAAATAACCTAGTTATTGAACCTAATTGTTATTGAAAAAAAGCCTGCCAGTGTAAATGCCCATTAGTTCCATTTCAATGCTATTCACATAACACTGAAATGCTTTTAAAAGACAAAAAACCAGAGCTGTGAATAATTGACCACTAGCGCGAGCATGCGACGTCTGTACATGACCAACACACAACCCATTCCTTTGTAATACAGGATGTTTTGACACTGGATACATTCTCACTGGGGACCAGAATGAGATCACCACATCCGTTCATATAAGTAATCACACTTCTGCCCGCTAGTGACACACCTTTAATTTGACTGCAAAGGTAAACAAGAGAGGTAGTTACTAAAGTCTCTTTGAACTTCAGTTTATTTGAAGTTTGGCATTTTTGAGATGGTCAACATCACTTTCCTTCCGCTGAAGAAGAAAATAATTTTATCTCCAACTTGACAGGGAGAGGAATTAGGGCCACCACACCAATTTGGAAAATGCTACTTATAACATGGCTTATGCATGTAAATCCCAAGCCTTGAGATATATGTGATTAATCACAGATGCTGCATCTTTCAAGTAGTGTAGCAATACTTAACATTAGATCAAACAAACACTGCAAGGAATAACTCGTGAAATATATGAAAACTTCAGTGGATCCTTCTTTGTGGAAAAGTATCAATACAAAAGGCTCTACCTTTCCTCTACCATGAACTACCTGGTCTATGATATGCACAGAGGAAAACAGTACCATGACTCCTTTCAACTGGTATACACCCAAAATTTGACAATTTTAATTTTTTTTTACCATTAGAATTTGGTGCCAGGGACAGAAAGAACATAAATTTGAAGGAGAAAGTAATTTTCCTACCCTACTCCAGTATGGTATAGAACTTCATACCATTTATCACACTTAAAAGAAAGTAATAAACTTCAGATGGTGTTATTATTATAGCAAAACAAGTCTTTCTTGTACTATGTGTATTGAAAACCCATAATTACAGAACTGTTAGACAATGACAAATGCTTAGACAATTCTGAGTACTTCCAAGGTATCCCCAAGCAGTCAAATTGCTCTTTCTCAAGTCAAGAAACGTGAGAAAATACGTGGTTCTCTGATGGCACAGAGAGTTGCTGAAAGATCAAAAAATCACCACCCATGGAGAGCAGTAGTTCAGCATATACCTGCTCTTCAGTGAAAGCTTCTCTCTGAGGGAAAGATCTCCAGGGTTGGTTGATTTTTTTAATCCACTGAAGCAATCATGACGTGGGGAACCACTGCAGGTACTACAGCAAAGTGTCATTTTGCAACAGCCAAAAATCAGATGAAATGTAGGAAATCTGCATTTTCAATCTGAAGGTGAAGCAAGGAGATAGGAGAAAAAGTGAAGACAAAATACTATACTTGCTAACGAGCTCCCTTGCCTTGTGGGTGAACTTGTGCCAGGCACGACTAAAGAAAATAAGTATTTTAAATTACCACAGATCAAAACAGATCACAGCATGAAATTTTATTTTCAGGATGGGGGATATCCCTGTCATCTGTAAAAACACATATGGTAGCTTTGAGGGGGTTTTGGTTTTTTTTAGTATAAGGTGTGAATTTCCCTGTGAAACCACATATGCACTACAAGGATAGATTTACTATCCCCTTCCTGCCTTTCAACAGTCCCTCCCTAAGCATAGCTTGTGAACATGCTGAGAGCACAGACTTCACGGACAAGACATTAGTTTTCACAGGCCAATGATTTTTGTTTCACTGAAAACACATTTACCTGCCAAAGGCCAAGTTCTCAGTTGGCATAAATCAGTGCAGCTCCTTGCCTCAGCCACCTAATTCCATTTGCAGGCTTTATTTAAGGTTCAAATGATAGCTTCACATATGCCTCTCCCTCTCTCCATATGAACCCTGCCTAGTAGTTAAAGGAAACACTTACCTCTAGAAGTTCATCGCCAATATGCATCCTTCCATCTCGTCCTGCAGGTCCATCTGGATTGATACCAACTACAAAGATGCTCATACGAGAGCGGTCCTTGTTGCCAGCAAGACTCAGTCCGAGCCCATTTTTGTCTTTTTCAAGCTCAATAATGTGCAACTCTCCCAGTAGATCTGCATATCTTTGCCTGATTTTTTCTAGAAAAATCAAGAAACATAGAATGAGTTATAACATAAAATAACTTACATGCAGATATTCAAGAACATACACAAACACGCTAGAAGTTGATGGCTTCTCAGCATTTACTCTTTGTTAACAGAGGTCTTTCCAGCAGACTCTAAAATACCATTTGCAGTGCTTGTATTACTCACACAGCATCAGCTGCAAATACTATTCACATTAAAACTGCACTATTTTAATTATTTGTACAACAGGCTGGTTCTAAACCAAAAATTTTTTGAAAGGAGGGTAAACAAGGGAATTCCAGAAGCACCTCAATCTTACCTTACAAAAACTATCAATTTCAGGAAACTCTCATAAAATTAGAGCTGGTTAATTAACCACTGTGGGAAACTGAAGTGCTTACTATTGCAAACATACTGCAAACTTACATCTCAGGGTAGAATCTTTTACTTTTGTTTCTTTCTGGTGACTCAGAAATATGCTTACCATGCTCTGCTTAACATTATGTGCTACCGTGCAGATGACTACTCAAAGCAGATGTCAGTGACAATGTATATGAATGATTACATTTTTAAATGCAGCCTCACTTGGTATTAAGGTAGTCATTTGTCTTTTATCTACATTTCAACCATTTCTGTGACAGAGTGCAATATACTTACAAAGTTATTTGGAGCACATTGTGTGTCTGTGGATGCTGACAGTTTAATCTGAATGTCTTTTCAACACTGGCATACAAACATCTATAACTATTGCTTGCAAGGATCAATCACAGCAAGGGTAATTTTTTTTCTGTCTGATTGTCCTTTGCAGATTTTAAAGCCAGCTTCATAACACCACCTGCATCCAATGCTTCAGCTGGGCCACACATTAAAAAAAGCAAGTCAAAGTATTTTGCTGTGGCTGGATGTCATGTTTAGTACAGAGCCCAAGGTGAAAGAAACTGCTGCATTATGCATCAAGAAGAGAAATAAGAGATATTATATGTTCAATCATATCCCTGAGTCAGCAGCAGTAGCTAGATCAATATTAGCTATTACCATTCCACCGGGGAAGCGTATTTTAATAGTATGATTTAACCACTGTAGTGAATGTTCCCATGACAACAAGGAAGAGGGGAGACAGCTGGGGAAGTGAGAGGGAAGCAACTAAAAGTGAATAAAAACTGCTGAGAAGAAAGATGGTGAAGTAGAGGTGTTCTTTCCACAGACCCTGTGCAGGCTGCCACGGTGATTTAGCCAAACTTGGGTCCACCCCGGTGGCTCTCCTCTCCGAGGATCCTTCCTGAGCAATCGTTCCAGCTGTAGCAGCCCCTCATGCTTTGGCAGAGACCACTGGGTCAGGGGGAGCAGCCTCCTGTCTCTGACCCTCAATGCATCCAGGAGCATTACCTACACTCAGAGAACACGGACAAGAACCAGCTCTCCCGTCGCTGTGTTTACAGGCTGGCATTTTCCTGCCGTGCTCAAAATCCCCAGTGGCCTGGAGCCTGAGCCTAAAATCATGGGGGCGTGTATTAAAGGTAAGATGTTATCCCTGGAAAGCTGTAAAGCCCTACAGAGGTTTGCATAAAATCAGAATATCATAAAAACATTAGAAACGTCACTTGTTACTATCAATTATATGCCAAAAATTCATATAACTGCATTAAATGGCAATCCATGTAGCTGCGCAGTTCTTTAATATATTTCTTAACTAACAGGGTCAAAATGTAATTAGAGGTGTGACTTCCTCCTTGAATTTGGAAAGTGTTT